GCCGCCACCTGCCGCCGCACCGGAGGGATTTCCGACCGCCGATCGAGGTAAATTTCATATCCCCGACTCGTTTTTCCACGCTGATTTCCCCAGTGGCCAAATCGGAGCCAAAATTCCGGCCAAACGGCCGGAAAACACGGCCGAAAGCCAGCGGCGCCGCCGCGCCCCTCCTCGGTTTTTACCTCCGATGAGGCCCTTCCCGGCCTCCGTTTAATGCAATTTTTATACCACCGTGATCACCATTCTTTTCTCTACAGGTTGATCGGAGCCGAATCACCAAAACACGAACTTCACCGGAGAGCCGCCGCACCCGAGAGCACCGCCGCCGGTAAGCTTCGGTTTTCCGTAAATTTTCGGCCCCCCGAGGGCCGTAGGGTTGTTTTATCGCAGGAACCAATGCGAGTGTGGCCGAATTCGGCTGGAAACGGCCAACCCGAGGCGAACCGCCGCCGCAAGCGGCGGCGCCGTCGCCGGAGCACGGCGGAGCCGCCGTGCCAGAGTTGCGATATTGGCCGAAAGGGGCCCTAGGCCTAATTTGAGATTTTTTGGAACACGTGCAGGTACCTATAGTGCGTTTCAGTTCCCCGGAAAAAATTCAGAGAAAATTAGGGACAGCCTGCAAGCGCACTGTGAAACCGTGTTCGGACCCCGAAACGAGTAAGGACCCCTCACCCTATTTCCTATCACGGTTTTAAAGTTCAATAAATAATAAAACGGTATTTCATGAATCAACGAATGTGTGAAATTGCTTAAGGTCGCTAATGGAGCCCGAGTCTAGTGTGTTTGTCGGTTAACTGTTATTTGGCCTGTTTTACAGTTTTAAATACAGCATGAGGTTCAATGTTTTCATTTTATAGTTTCATGTGCATATTTTACTGTTTTATTGATCATGAATTGAATGACCGGGATATTGATACTGTATGTTGTCTGTTTGGCATAAATTATCGTTTTGGTTATTTGTATGTGATTGATAATGCTGACTGAGGGAAAAGGAGAATGAAAGATTATGTAAATGGAAATTGTATAATGTGGTCAGCCTGACTAGATATCCTGGGAGATGGTGGACGGACCGGGTCCGTAAGGAACCCTACCGGGATTGTGGTCTCCCATACCGGACGGGGTATGGAGATCTTATGTGTTTTGGCGCTCATACCGGACGGGGTATGGGGACGGCCCGTTTCACCCTCATACCGGACGGGGTAATGAGGTCTATAGTTTGGCGCCCATACCGGACGGGGTATGGGGACGGCCCTGGAATATGATTTCAAGTGTTAAGGGTTAACGGGTAGCGGGACCCCTATGGATCCCTATGGATACTAGTGGGCTGATAAATGAGGAAAATATATTGTGTAACGATTGAATTACAAAAAACTTGATAGGTATTATGTTATACAGTTTATATATATGGTTTCATGATGATGATGATGTTATTGCTTTCGTATATTGTTTTATGAATTTCACCGAGGTAAGTGAATGGTAAAGGTTTTATTATTAATAAAAGGATTTGTTGTAAATTATGCTCTATTGGTCTTTTTTTGTGTTTTTCTACCCATCTTTACCTCCGTAACGGTGAGATATCGTGATGTCCTTACTGGGTTAGTGTAGCCCATTCCTTATTTAATCATTTCAGATCAAGAGGGCATCGTTCCCGAGCCGGTTCCGCAGGAGGAGGACGAATGGGACGCCTAAAGACTCCATAGTCATATTCGTAGCTTTTACTTTCAAGTTTCTCCTTTAGGTAGTTTGATCTTTTATATTTTGTGAGCACGTTTTTTGTTTTAGTGTAAGGGATGTTATTCAAATTTTGACTTCGCTTCTGTATCTGATATTTTTAATATACATTTCATTATGAATTTCCGGGACTGTTACATATATGGGTTTCAATTATAGTAGACTTTGGGGGGTACTGTGTAGATTAAATATAGGAATTGCAGGGAATCTTTTTTATTAGAATGAGGAAGTCTCAATTCTATTATTCTGGTATGGGATCAAACAATTCATTTGTTTTGCTTTAGACCATGTGCTTATATGTTTTATAATATGTATAAATTAAAAAAAAATTTAAATAAAAATTCGAAATTAATTTTATTATTTATTTCTTATTTTATTTTTAATATTATTTGTTTATTATTTATATTTTTATATATTATATTAAAAAAATAAAATATGATATTAACATACTATTATGTTTCATGAAAATATTTTTGTTTTTCAAATTCGGGGATGTGTCGATAAATATAATAAGATATTCTTTAGAATTAAATTAGATTAAGTTTGAGTTAGCTTTGAATATTAAAGTTTAATGAAAATATTATATAATTACTCAAATACATTATTATTATTATTTTCTGTTGACTTGGTATTGTAATTATTTTGTAATAATACAAAATCAATATGTCTAATGTATAATAATTTTTTGATAAGATATTGAATATTTAAAATTAAATTATAATTTTATAATTACTTTTATAATTACTTTAAAGTCAAATAGCCTCTTGGACTTTTTTCCTCTTTAAGGAATTTAATCTTGAAGATTTGTTTTTCTTGTTGACAATAAATCTCCTGATTTACTTCCCAAGGAAGCATGAATGAAATCTCTGGTAAATAAATTTAGAATGAAAATATACACCAGACAAAAAATTATTGGTATAATTTATTTGATATATGTATATATATATATATATATAAACAAAATCGAAAACCAATATCCAACAACTGCTTATTTTTTTATATTTGGCATCATAATATATAATTATTAATTACTTGAGATATTATAATAATAAAGAAAATGAAAGTAATGAAACTATGGCTCATAATTATTTATGACTTTTTATGTTTTTATTATTTATTTTAATTTTTAAATATAATAATTATATACTTATTTAATGTAATAATACTTATAGTTAACTATTTAGATTTTTTAAATATAAAAATACAATTTAACTTTTAATTAATTACAAATAATATACTAAGTAATTTTTAAATATGAAAAATAAAATTAATGGGGTGTAATTAATTTTTAAAATACTATAAGCTCTAAAATTATGTATCATATAAATTTTTTTATTATTATTTTTTTTATATATTTCATTTATCTTGTACATCTTTTATTCAGAGTCGAAGTATTTTTTATCATTTTATTAGAATTTTTTTATTTGTATGATTTTTATTCCATATTAAATAAATACGTAGATTATATTTCATATTATTATAATAAATTCTTTCAGAATCATATCTTTACGCATTAGGTAATGCAAATCAATTAATATCTTGACTGATTAACAAATTAAGGAATGAGATCCACCCAATTACCAATTCAATTAGAATTTTAAAAAATAAAATCACTACCATAATATTTGATATGGACTTACAGGATCATCTTGGAATTTTATTACCCATTTTGATTACTTCTTTTTACCCTCTCATTATTACAATACTCTTTTTTTCACCCATCGGGATGCAATATATAATGGGGAGAAATTAAGCTACAACCCATCAATTAGAAAGTTCTTTTGATAATTTAAGAAAGAAAGAAAGAAAGGAAGACAAAAAAAAAAAAAACCATTGCTAGGAAACAAAGTCTAAAGAAAACTTCGAAGAAGAAAGAAGAAGTAATGGCGTCAATATCATTTCTCCCTAGTGTGTTATTCTTGGTGTTTTCATTTATTTGCATGCATGAAATTCAAGTTCAAGCAAAGATTTTCGATGTGAGGCAATACGGGGCTGTTCCTGATGGAAGAACTGATAATAGCAAGGTAAATATTAAGAGAGATTTATATATATATATATATATATTTGATTTTTATTGTGTAAAATCTTGATATTATTTATTCTAATTGTGAAATTTTAATTATCATGTATATGTTATGCAGGCATTTAGTACTGCCTTTTCCCAAGCCTGTCAATCCCAAGGTCAAAATGTGATTTTGGTCCCACAAGGAACATATCTGGTGGGCCCATTGTTGGTCGGAGGCCCATGTAAGGGCCCACTGGTGTTTGAGGTCAATGGGATCTTGAGGGCCCCCACAGATAAATCTTCAATCAATTTTGGCTATTGGATTTCATTCAGATACATTGTTGGTTTGGAAATCAAGGGCGGTGGGACGTTTGATGCGCAAGGACCATCTGCCTGGCCCTACAACAATTGCAGGCAGGATTCAAATTGCAAGCCTCTTCCTACCGTAAGTCCATTGCTGTTTGATCTTCTCTCTTTTAATCTTATTTACGATATAATCTATTTTTTTTTTTGTTCATATCGATAACATATATGTTTGTTATTGATTATCTTACCAGACGCTACAACTTGATTTTGTCAAGAAAGTATCGGTTCATCATGTAAAATTTATCAACAGTAAAGGTGTCCACGTGAATATTTTTAAATCCCAAGGCGTAAAAATTTATCAAATAACTATTAAAGCACCAGGCGATAGTCCTAATACTGATGGAATCCATATGGGCAATTCCAAAAACATTAGGATCATCAATTCAAAGATTGGCACCGGCGATGATTGCATCTCGTTGAGTGGTGGCTCTGGAAATATCAATGTCACAGGTGTCCAGTGTGGCCCCGGTCACGGCATTAGTATCGGTAGTCTTGGAAAGTTGAGGAATGAGGAAAATGTGGCTGGGATTTTGGTCCAAAATTGCGTGTTTGAAGGTACCACTAATGGTGTGAGGATCAAAACATGGGCACCTTCTAATCCATTACTTGTATCTAATCTTGTCTTCCGTGATATCATCTTCAACAATGTTTTCAACCCAGTCATTATTGATCAACAATATTGTCCTTCTGGTCATTGCCAAGACTGGGTATGTTACTTTTTACGTATTGTTCCATCTATATTTTGCGTTTGCACCTTGCTAATTTTCTACTGTGTTTAAATCACTTTAATTTCTGTGAAATTTTATAGGGTACTTCGCAAGTTAAAATCCAAGGTGTAACATACGATAACCTATCAGGGGTTTCGAGTTCAAAAGTTGCAGTAAATCTTCAATGCAGCCCATCTAAACCCTGTGAAAACATTGTGATGAAGGACATCAATATCCAGTACAAAGGAGCCGGTGGTCCTACTTCTCAATGTTCTAAGGCTTATGGTTTTGCTTCTGGCAAACAATACCCTGCCTCTTGCTTGAGTCACTAAGCAAGCAGTCTGGCATTTTTAGTATACAATCCAATATGTTTAACTTGTGTAGTGTTCTGATCCAGAGTTTAATTACGTTAGTGGAGTTAATAAAATATGTTGTAGCTAAAATATTTCCAAGAAGCAAAATGAATTTCTTTTTATTGCCCATAATTTGGAAGTCTCAATCTCTTTCATTATCTACTCTTATTGCTTCTTTATTTTGACCTTTAATTTCTCTTCTTTCTACTTGCATTGTTAGAGTTGTAATAAAGAAATTGTGTCTTGGACAGACAGTAACTGTGATTCAAAGAATTTTTGTCTTTTATTAAAAGAATTAGATCAAATAATGTATAAAGAGGTTGGTAACAAAACAAAAAGTATAAAAGAACCAAGCAATCAAAACTTTACCTTCGGTGAGACAAGGCTACCAAAATGCAGATGAGAAACAAGAGGAGTTGAGGTCCCTTGAATCTTCAACTTCTTGAAGCTCTTCTTTACAAAATCATAAAGAACCAGACCTTTGAGATCACCAAGAACCAATACCTCTCCCTTCCCAACAAAACCAAATGGCTTCACATACAACCAATCAAGCTTCATCAATGGTGATTTTAACACAACGTGTTTCGCCCATGAATCTCCATCTCCATACTCCTCCATCACCCAAATCACTAAACGATCACAAAACTTCTTGTCAACGATTGAAAGACAGCCCCCTATTTCTGTTAAATCCACCCATTCTGAAGACCAAGACACAGCAGTTCCAGTTACTGTGTCTCTGCTTCCAGGCCTGTAAACCTTTGGAGCTGGTACAGCTTTAAAGGTTTCTCTTCCGATTTGAAAGCTTACGATGAGGTCAATAATCTTGGAATCTCTGTAGTTAGCAGTTAGCCAATGAAGAGCTCCGCTAACAAAGATAGGGTTGTTATGGCCGCGAAGGGGATAGCCCACGTTCCCTGCTCTCCTCCATGAACCAGCTTCAGACGAATCAGATCCATTAATGGTCAAGACTTGAGCGGTCAATTGAAGAGACTGGTTCTCCAAGAAGCTTGGCCAATGAGAGATAAATACCACTTTGAACTCGCTCGTCTCCGGGTCGAACCCGAACCCGGGCATGATGACGGGCGAAACCCGAACCCGTCCCCGGCAGAGATTGGCCGGAACAGGGAGGACAGCGTGAGCGCCAGTAACAGGATTAACGACGTAAACGGGAATATTCTCGATTGGATCTAACAAACAGAGCAAACCGTTGCAAGAACCCGCGATGTCGAGCTCAGATATTCTCCGATTGAACTGCGATTTAACCGGAGCAACATTAAGATTATTGACCATAAGAAGGTTACCGTCACTATCCCTAACCGTGGAATCGCTGCCATTGTTGCCGGATTCGAGCAGGAAAAGTCGACAACAACGGTAAGGGTTTGGGCTTCGTTCAATTAGCAAGAGACTCAGTGCCGTGCGAGCGTCCTCTCTCGTTACAGTCCTACTAACGTGCAGCTTTGAAAGAAGAGGAGAATCAATGGCGGAATGCCAAGATTTGCAGACCAACCGACATTGATAAAGAGCATTGATTGGTAATCGGGAAAGTATGTCGAAAACGATGTCGTCTGGCAGCATTGGCATCAATTGGCCTTCTTCGGCGAGATGAACACCGCCATTGTTGGTTTTGGCACGGGACGAAGTCTTCCTCCTGAAGATCCTCAGTTTTCTTAACCACAGTTTGAACGCAGCGACAGGGTTTCTCTTCACTGCCGCCATTGATGAAGACGAACAGAATCGTTTTCTGTAATTTTTAAAGAGAAAAAGGAAATTTATAGAATTAATAAATCTTAATTACCTATTTTGTTATGGAGTTCTCCTAAACAATGTAGTATTCGAATTAAAATATGCTATATATTATATATATATTTATTTGTTAAAAAAACTAAATAAATTTTCATGAACTACAAATATATTAAGAAAAGGTTATCTCCAAAAATTAATATTAAAGAAAATTGAATTGTCATAAGACAAAAAGTATAAGGATTAAAAATGTAATTATGTCAAGTTACATACAATAAAACTGTAATTTGTCATATTTCAGTTAGCTATTTGAATTGAATAACATAATAGTGGACTTGGTCCTACTTTTATATTTATTATTATATTACATTTAATTCAACTATATTTTACCTTAATTTAATTTTTATAATTGACATAAAAAAATTAGTCATGAATAATAAAGATACCTAATTTAAATTTGATATATAATTACTAATTATTTATTTACTGTATTATTGGTACTTTTCTTAATTTCAGATAAACTATAATAATAAGTTATATTATTAATAATTATATATAATTTAGTTAATAAAATATATAATTTTTTATTTAAAAAATTGATATAATAAACTTAAATGAGTATGATAAAATAATGTTTTTAAAATAAAAATAATGTTGAGATTATAGAATTATTATTCCCATTTTGTGCAGTAGTGGGTCTTAGTTGAAATTTTTTAAAGATGATTCTAATTTATACTTATACCACTAACTAAAATTTATTAATACCATGCTGTATTTACTTATTTTTTAAAGAGTATATGTCAAGGTATTTAGTGGAACTAACACTATATGCCTTTGACTTCCTTGATTTATTAATTATATTATACTATATAAAATTAATTAATTTTTAATAATTTTCTCTAAAAATTGGGATATTTTATTATCATTATTTTTTAAATATTGAACTTAGCATGAATATGATTTAAGTGGGCAACTTGAATTTAGGAAACTGGGTGGAGCTTATTGCAACTTAAAGCATATAAATAAAAATATATATATTTAATTAAATGTATATTTATTCTGTTGAAAATAAAATAATTAAATATGAATTGAAAACGTATTTTAATCAATGATAAAAAAAAAACATGTTATATAATTGATTTTCTAAATTAATACGTAATTCATTTGTAACAACCTAGGAATAATGGTTTGAGTATTCCAGATCTCACATCTCTTTGGACGGCTAAGATCTAATCATCTCTTAATATATAAAGAAACCTCATTTACAAAAAAGAGAGAAAATGGAAAAGAAAAAAAAAAGTAAAAGAGAAACGAGGGAAAGAAAAGGAGAGGAGGGAAGGAGAAGATAACGAGACCGAGAAGGAAGAGGGAAGAGACGTACCAGGGAGAACAAGGGGAAAGTACAACGTGGTGACTGGAAACCTTAGGAAAAGTAGGATGGAAGAGGATTTTATTGAGATAGTGGAAGATGAAAACAAGAGGTAAGGAAATTTCAAATTTGAAACCTTGTTATGGCGATTCATCTTGAATTATGACTTTTCTGGTTTACAAGGAGAAGAAGGGGAAGGGAAATAGGCAGTGTTGCAGGGAATTTAGGTATTAGGAAAATTTGAGTCGAGTTTAGGTGTGATTGGATGGAATTTGAGGGAATATCGAGAGGTAAGGATGAGATAGGCAAACATTTAGGGGTGGATTTTGAAGGAGTGTGGGTTTTGGTGTGTCAGTTAGGGCAATGTGTGTTTGTATGAGTGACAATTCGTTGGCCGATTGTTGTGGTGTGTCGATAAGGGTTGTGTGTATGTGTATGTGTATGTGTATGAGTGGCCATTCGATGGTCCATGGCCCATAAGCGGGGTGAGTGTGCGGCCGTATGATGGTCGGTGAGTCCCAATGGTGGCGGAACAGTGTGTGCGTGGTCGTGAGGTGGTTGGTGGGTGCCAGTGTGGCGTAGTGGCAAACCGGGGTGAGTGTGTGGCTGTATTATGGTCGGTCGGTGCCAATGGTGGCAGAACAACGTGTGCATGGTCGTGAGGTGGCCGATGAGTGCTAGTGTGGTGGAACAATGTGTATTGCCTTAAAATGGTCGTTGAGGGCTGAACCGAGATAGAGTCGTGCGTGTGTGGCAGTGAGGTGGTCGGTGATTGGTCACTCGTGGCAGAGTGGTGTGCGTGTGTGGCCTAGGTGTGGCCGGTGGGTTGCCAACAATGGCAGAACTGGAGGGGTGCGTAGGGTCATTCGGTGGCCATCAAGTTAGTGGCTGGGTGTGTGTGTGAGGCTGCTCGGTGGTCTCTATCTACTTGTTTGTATGCTGATTCTATTGAGGTGACCTCTGTGTGTGTGTTTGGTTATTTTATGGTTGGAATCTGTAGTGAATGTGTATGTGAGGATAGGCAGATATTTGTAATGTAATTCTACAGGTTTGTATGCCTATTTAGGTGCCACGCTTTGCATGAGTTAATACATGAAACTACTTTGTTGTGTTCCTGATGGTATTTAGTTAATCTTGATTGGTTATTTGTTGA